CAAACTAGGAGTATAGAACGGCGAGGCGGGGGATGGCAGGGTGAATGTCGCTTAGGGAGTCCCGGCGCGGAGAGCTGCGCTATAGACTTACCCCAAGAGGCCTGAGGATAGTAGTGCAGGCTAGGAGAGTTAGCCGGTGGTGCAGGCCCAGGGAAGCAGAGAGAGGTGAGGGCGGGGCCAGGACCAGAAGTGGTGCTCCTGGAGCCCAAGAAAGGGACTGAGTTGCTCTGGGTGAGAAGGATCAGGAAGCAGTATTGGTTCCCCAGGTGTCTGGGGCCCCGAGACTAGGAATGGCGCAGGGCCCAAACTAGGAGTATAGACCGGTGAGGCGGGAGACGGAAGGGTGAATGAGTTTCTCTGGGTGAGAAGGGTCAGGAAGCAGTATTGGTTCCCCAGGTGTCTGGGGCCCCGAGACTAGGCATGGCTCAGGGTCCAAACTAGGAGTATAGAACGGCGGGCGGGGGGGACGGGGGGTGGGGATGGAAGGGTGAATGAGGCTTAGGGAGTCCCAGTACGGAGAGCTGTGCTATATACTTACCCCAAGAGGCCTGAGGATAGTAGTGCAGGCTAGGAGAGTAAGCCGGTGGTGCAGGCCCAGGGAAGCAGAGAGAGGTGAGGCTGGGGCCAGGACCAGAAGTGTTGCTCCTGGAGCCCAAGAAAGGGACTGAGTTGCTCTGGGTAAGAAGGGTCAGGAAGCAGTATTGGTTCCCCAGGTGTCTGGGGCCCCAAGACTAGGAATGGCGCAGGGCTCAAACTAGGAGTATAGAACAGCGAGGGGGGCGGTGATGGAGGGGTGAATCTGGCTTAGGGAGTCCCGGCGTGCGGGCTCGGAGAGCTGCGCTATAGACTTACCCCAAGAGGCCTGAGGATAAAATATAAAAATATAAGAGTTAGCCAGTGGTGCAGGCCCAGGGAAGCAGCGAGAGGTGAGGGCGGGGCCAGGACCAGAAGCAAATCAACCCTACACGTGAAACAAAAACAATAAATAAATAAATAAATAAATAAATAAATAAATAAAACTTTGAAACAGATAAATAATACTATGTTTTATTGTGTTTAGGATGAAGGTGACCAAGCAGCAAGTGTTGAAGAGCTAGAAAAACAGATTGAAAAACTGAGCAAAGTAAGCACTCTTCAGATTAATGTGTACTTTTTGTTTACAGTATTCTAAAAATCTACATTGTATGGGTTTAATCTTTCTGACTGCTATGTAAAAGCAGCCTTCCTGAAGAACTTTAGAAATCCTTTCACAGTTAAACCTTAGATGTTTAATACCAAGGTTAACAGCCTGCCTCTAAAGACATGATGTGAACCTAATCTAGGAAGAAAAAGTTCTAGACTCTTTTGTTCTTGTTTGGAATCAACATATCACTAAAGTCATTATTTCTTGGAACTAATTACTGAGAAAATTTAGTTGTGTTTCATTAGTAATGGTTTGAGTATCTAGATTTTATTTTACATTTGTTTATTTTTGTATTATATTCACAGTAGATTAATAAATAGTAATACGTATTTATCATTAAAAACTAGATTTTGGAATGATTAATGAAATTTAAGATAGGTTTTTTTGTTAGAGAAAATTAGTTTTTAAAGAATTATTGTTGGACCCCCAGACTGGGGTACCCAATGTTCACGGGAGGTCACACCCCAATAACTCAGTCCTCAAATCAGGAGATGCAACAAGCATGAGGATTTATTGGCGTTTTGCAAAACGGACTCCCACCTCACTTGGAGGACAGAAGTCCAGAGCCCAGTTCACAGGTTTCTTTTAAAGACAAGCGGTGGCTATGTGCCAAGCAGAAAAGCGGCTGCTATGTGCCAAGCAGAGGTAGGGGGAATTTCTGAGATGATTTCCAGCTTGGGCAAAGGAGCATGAAAAAGGTCAGCTCAGCTTGT